TGAAAATGTATGTCCACACAAAAGACTGTACACAAATATTCATAGCAGCTTTATTTGTAATACTTAAAAGTTAAAAACCAAATGTCCTTCAATGGGTGAATAGTTAAAACAGGCTCTGGTAAATCACACCATTGAATACTACCCAGTAATTAAAATGAATGAATTGTTGATACACAGAAAAACTTGGATGAATCTCAAGGGAATTCATGCTGAGTGATAAAAAGTTACATAATGTATGATTGCGTTAGTATAACATTCTTGAAATGACAAAATTGTAGAAATGGAGACTAGGTTAGTGGTTGCCAAGGTTAGGAAGAGGGTATGGAGGGAGGTGGGTCCAGTTGTAAAGGGGCAAAACATAGGACCTTGGTGATGATGAATTGTTCAGTATCTTTACTGTGGTGGTAGATACAGGAACCTATACATGTGGTAAAATATGTAGGGTACACACCCACTCGAGAACCTGTAAAACCAGTGAAATCTGAATAAAATCTGGGCATTGCATCAGTATACATTTCCTGTGTTTGACAGGGATTTACGTAAGATGAAACCACTGGGTTAAATGTATATGGGACCTCTCTGTACTATTTTTGCAACTTCCTGTGAACCTATAATCATTTCCAATTAAAAAGCTTGAAAAGTTATAAAGCATTAGATAAAATTCAATGTCTGTTTTCAATTAAAAAATTAGTAAAGTAGAAATAAAAGGGTATGTCCTTAATATTAAAAGAAAAAAAAGAACTAATGGACATGGACAATACTGTGGTGGTTGTGGGGGTAGAGGGGGCGTGGAGGTGGAAGAGGGCATAGAGGGGATAAATGGTGATGGAAAAAATTATATATATAATTTTTATTTATGACCAATAGCCAGCATCGTGCTTGATGGACATATTATAGGAAGTCTCATTAAAACTATGCCAGCTGTTTTCACCTCTATTTTATGTTCTAGAAGAGTTTGCTAATGCCCTTAGGCAAGAAAATTAAAGATACTCAAAAGAAGGATAAAAGATTACTATTCACAGATAATATATATATATATCACATACTTAGGTAATCTAAGGAAACCAGTAAAAAGGTTTGTTAAAACTAATGATGGTCTAAAGATGATATTATGCAAAATATACTCAGAAATCAATAAATAGCTTTCCTAGTTAGAAACGATAATGGAAAAAAAAGATCTTGTTCAAAATAGCAGTAAAAATATTAAATGTCTGGAAATAAACATAATAAGGAAAGGGCAGAAACTGCATGAAAGTCAGTTTCATTAAAGAATAATTTGAATAAGTCAAGAGAAAAGCTGTGGTTCTTTACTTTTAAAAGAAAAATAAATTATTTTCAATAATATTTGAGGATTTTTTTCTTATTTTTAAGAATTGAGGGTAACTTCTGTCTTGAATGTTTTCGGATTTTTAGTTTTTTAAAAATTTCTTTTAATTATTTTATAGCTTATCTGAACAATTAATACTAATAGTTTTTAGTAAAATGCTCTTATTAATGTATATGTATAATATATGTGTAGCTAGAATTAATCATGGAGCTGTAATTAGAAACTATTTATGATTACTTTTTCGGAAATAAGTCTGTTGCTAGATTGTGTGTTTATACCTGTGATAATTTTTAAGTACCCACACACATTTTTTAGAGTGAGTAAGTAGTTTGGATTGTTTTTTTCTCAGTCAGCTCCAAACTTGTCTAAAGCATTTTGTGTTAAGATACAGCTGAAGCGTGGTGGTTACCAGAGGGGCGGGGATAAATGGTGATAGGAGATTGGACTTCAGATGGTGAGCACACAGTGCGGTGTGCCGGTGATGTGTTAGAGAATTGTACCCCTGAAAGTTATATAATGTCATTAACTCCTGTTATCCCCCAATAAATTTAAATTTTAAAAAAGATGCAGTTGATACTACATAAGAATTTTGCTTGGATGTTAAGTTCTGATTTATTGTGTATTTGAGCAAGTCCCATCCTGTCTCATTTCACTTACTTACAAGCTATTATCGCTGTCTTCTTTTTGTTCATAAAGATGTTTGTAAGACTGTGTACAAGTTAATTATTTTAGGTGATTATTAGTTAACAGTTATGTTATCAATACTGTATTGTGCTCATTTCGGCAAACATTGAAGCAGCACTTGTTTTACCGATGAGGAAACAGGTTCATGTAATCTTGGCACAGTCACATAGCTTAGCCTTTGAAGCCTAACAAAATGGTTATGTCTGTTTTAAATAGGAGGCCTTCTTTAAGCCTCTGGAAACCAGAATAAATTATTAGGCTTGTTCCCAAACTCTTAAATTAGCCAACCCAAGTAGTGCATTAAACAGTTATCTAGTACTCTGGTTTTTAGCCCTAGAAATGGAAGTGGACCCATTAGGCTAAGGGACTCATCAGAATCCCCTCAAGTATTTGTATTTGTCATTTCTTGTGGCAAGATGAGCAGGAAGAAAGAGAAGCTAACACTTACTGAACACCCAACATGGCTAGGCATAGTGAACTTGACCACAACCTTCAACATAACTAGTATCCAAATCTTGTGGATTAGAAAACTGAGACTCATGTTAAGTAACTTGCCCAAAGTCACACCTATAATAAAGGGCAAAGCCAGGTATTGAAACGATATGTCAGACTCCAAAGCCCATGATCTTTTCTCTACACTGTGATTCCCCAGACTGTCTAATCACAGGAATCATCTAAGGTGTCTGTTTAAAAAATGAAATATTAAGCCATGGTGCTTCTGGAACTTCTGATTCATTTTTGGTTTGGGGTAAGGCCAGGTAATGTATTATTAACGGGAATCTTAGGTGATTCTGATCATCAGGCAGGTATGGGAAATACTACAAACTCCACTAGTACTAAGAAGTGGGGTTTGAAAGTGTTAGGAGAGCAGGAATAGGGCTGGCTGGGAGTAGACAGGCGCTTAAAAAAAACAAATTGACATTTTAATTCTTTTCAATACTAGCAAAGTAAGAATAGTAAGATTGGATTGTGGAAATTATAAAATTGCTTTAGGTTCCTTAAACTGCACAGAAAAACTGTGTTTTTATTAGTATTTTTCTTTCAGGTGACAACATTTGTGCAATCCCATTCTTTGGCATTATTCTTGCTTACGATTGGGTACAAAGGCACCACTAAAGGATATAGATAAAACTAATTTGGATGCAAAAGAGAAAGAAAGAATTAGAAATAACATAAAAACAGCTTTGAATACAGAATCAGTAATTTCCTCAGGTGTAAAAATCTTACATAACCTTAAATAACTTGAATCCTTAAAGTCACAGGATTATAACATTTCCAAGCTTGAAGAGCTCTCAGGTATCCACATATTTTATGAATGAAGAAAGCCATAACTCAGGCAAGGCTTAAGGGCTTGCCCACAGTTAGCGGCAGACTTTCAAATCCATTCTGGCCAAGGTTCCACCAAACTCTTATGGATTGCACATAAATACCAGAAAATAGTGACTTTTCCAAGGTCATGCTGCTTTTTAGAAATAAATTTAGTGACAAATCATGTTTACCCTACCTTCCCTGCTTTATCTCATATGGTTTTTTCCTTTTTTAATTGTCCTATTGAGAATATTAATGTATTCAAAGGAATCTCTTTTAGAAGATTATGCAATTTGAAATAATATATCTGATCAATGATATGTTAGAAAAATGAATCATTACCTTCTCTAGAGTTGTGTATTTAACAAGTGGCCACTTTCAGAACATGTGTTAAGGAGGAACTCTAGCTTTTTCCACTTTTTATTACAAAATTTTATTTTATAAAAAGAGAAAAATGAGCATAACTAGATGCCTCTACACAAATTCTAACAGTAATATATGACAGCATTTCTGTGTAATAATATGAGCTTTGGATTCAGACTTGGGTTCAATGATCTTATATGCAAACTTAGTAGCTCTGTGATCTTGAACAAGTTATTAAATCTCAACCTAACCTTTTCCCTCTACTATGCATAATATTCCTCGTGGTTTATTAATGATTAGTTGAGATTAAACAAGAGAATTTGTGTAACATAACTAATAGTATGCTTTGAACAAAATAAGCATTACATAAATGATAGCTGTTGTTATTATTTATTTCCTTGAGGCAGTAGTTATTTAGAAGAGTATTAATTTCTGAATGAGTGCTTTAGTTTATTTCTTTATTCAGTTTTTTATCATAATCAGAAAATATGATCTATGTGATTTCTGCTTTTAGGAATTTTGAATTTTATGGTCTAAAACATGATTAGTCTTTATAATTTTTCATAAAAACTTGAAAAGAATATATTCTTTTTACATTATAAAATTCAGTGTCTACCTATTGTAATATAAATTACTTCATATGCTTTGTCCTTATTTTGTTCATTATGCTAGTTGATATTAGTGTGCTAAAATTTCTCCTCCTATTTTCTTTCCATTTATTTCATGTTATAGTTCCCAAAATATCTTTTGTGTTTTGTGGTTAAGTTAGTCTGTGATTAAATGTTCAAAACTATTTTGCATTTATTATTTTAATTATTTGTTTGGGAAAATAACATGCTAATTATAGAAAATCTGAAAAATAGAGAAACAAACACAGAAGGAAATGAACATCTTTACTGTTACTATGAAATATCATTATTAAAAGATTTAAATGTGATTAAGAATAGGGGTTTTAGAATAAGATTTGGGTTTGAATTTAGGCTCTGCTTATTAACCTTAGGCAGGACATTAGACTTTTTCATTTATTGAAATATTTATTGAGCACCTCCTGTGTGCCGGGCATTTTGCTAGGGGTTGAGGACACAGTGCTCAAAAAGACTGACATACCCATCTTGGCTTGACTTGTTCATTTGTAAGTTAGTGATAATGACTTAGAGCATTGTCGGAGGCATCAGAGATGATCTAGAGCACTTAGCACTTGCTTGGTGCATGGTAATTCCTCAGTAAGTGATAGCAATTATTTTAACTATATGGTATTACGTACTAATTATATTTTTAGTCCAAATTAAATGACCTTTTTAATCAGCTTAAGGTTTTTGCCTCACAGTTTGTTTTTGGTCTTAATCTTAAAAACACTTGCTTTCTTTTTCTTAATGCTTTTCTATACTTATCTCTTTTGTTTGGGTTTCTCTTTAAAGTAGTATGTGATTGTGTGGGTGTTTTTAACCTTTTCCGTTTTTATCATCAAGCGTTTTAAACACATGCCACAGTAGAGAGAATAGTATAATGAACCACCATATTCCCATAACCCAGCCTCAAGAATTATCACCCCCCACATGTATTCTCTCTTCCCCTCCCCGGCTCCAGTAGATTATTTTGAAGCTAATCCTATATACATCAAGTCAGATGTAAATATTTACATTTATAATTCTGAAAATATAAAGACTTTTAAAAACACTAACTACCATACCACCATCACTCATAAAAGCATCAATAATTCTGTAATTGCATTAAATATACAGTAAGACTCTTGATTTTAATTAGATACTTTACATTTCTTACATTATTACTTTTGGAATTATTTCATTCATCTTATTTTAAGTTTTTTATTGTGTTGTGTGTGTTTTTACTTTTGCCATATGGATTGTTTTGTTGAGGAGGTTATGAAATAGTGATGAAAGAATTATGGAACTGGAAAGACCTGGGTTTGAATCCTGCTTCTGCCATTCACTAATTAACTTTGCTGAGCCTTTGTTTCCTCGTCTGTAAAATGGGAATAATTATACCTGCCTCATGATCTTAGGGTTGAATGTAATACCTGCGTAAAGTATTATTCACAGTCTTTGCCAGTTATTATCTTCTAGTGATTTGGACTGCAATAAATAAATAAAATTCTTGGTTATTGTATGGTTTTTCAAAACATTGCAAAATTTATACTTACTAGCTAATTACTAAAAATAGTGGTTTTTAAATATTCCTTTAGGAAAGACAAAATTTAGAATCTTTATTTCTCCCTTCTTCCACTAAATCTTTTATTTTGAGTCCACATTAATTTATTCTGAGTTTACAGATCTTACCGTTAACTTTCTAAAGTTTTATGTTGTTTATATACTTATATCAATTATTTATTCTTCATTTTTGACCCTTTTTTAGTGGGCTTAATTATTCTATTCAGTTATTTCTAGATATTAAGTTGGTGTCAGTATACTTCACCAGTTCTTTCCTACCTCAATATTCTTGAGTTCTTATTTTGATTCTCTTTCAATAGTCTAGGACACACCTTTGAACAATTTATGAAAAAAGATACTACCAGGATGGTGACATTTTATAAGGCTTTGCAGACCTAAGAATAATTTCCTGTGACGTTTGTACATGAAAAACTAGGACAAGGTATAAAATTCTTAGATCATAACTTTTCCCTTTCAACTCTCTGTAAGTCATTACTTCATTGTCTTCTGACATTTTATTGTTGCAGAGGAAAACTGAGGTCAATCTGGTTTTAGTTCCTTTGAAAATAACCTATTTTTTTCTGCTTGTATGCTTGTAGGATTATATCTTTACCCTTGAAATTTAAAAACATTTGCCAGGACATGTCTTGGTGTTGATGATCTCTGTTGAACCTTCTCAGTCTCCAGTCTCAGGTATTTTTTTTCAGAACTGGAAAGTTTTCTTATACTTTTGATTGATTAAACTGCTCTGTTTTTTCTTTAGGAACATCTGTTATTCATAGATTATTTCTATGTCTGTCCTCCATAGTTTTTAAATATTTTCTTTCATTTCCTTTTTCATTTACTCAAGTTTGTCCTCCGTGGCATGGATTCCGTTTTCTGCAGTGTCAATTCTAATACTTGCTATTCACAATGCAGATTTAATTTTGGCTACCGTATTTTCTTTTCTTTATTCTTATCTCAACATACTCTTGTTTCATAAGCAGAATTCCCCTTAGGGGTATACTCCAAAAAACATGAGGTGGATTCAGGCCTAAAATATATCTATTTTCTGAGGCCAAAACCACAGGACCAGAAAGGAAAGAAAAAGCTTAAAATGAAGATATACCAGAGGCCATTCCTACCCTTGTCTAGAAAATAGAACAGTCTTGAGTACTAGCAGGCCTTTAGTTGCTGAAGGAATAGCAAAGCAGGCATAAGGGCACCTTAACTAGAATAAACGGATTTTCTAATTACATTGATTATCTTTTATCTTTTTTAAAATAATATATAATAAATGCATATAAATTTGAAAATACAGTACAAAGAAGAAAATCTTATGACCCAGGTAACTACTGATAAGATTTATGTATGCTTTGCCAGTTACATGCACACATTTTGGGGGGGTGCAAAATTGGGGTCATACTATGGTAGTTTTGTATCCCTTTTAATTTAATATATTGCAAGCATACCTTTGCATCGTTAATTTTTCTTTGAGGCCCTGATTTTAACCATTTTTTAGTATTCCTACATATGAATAGATGTATTATGATTTATTTTACCAGTCCCCTGTTGGTCATTTAGATTGTTTTCTATTTTTCAGTATAATGAGTATGATGACTATCACTGTACATAAGTCTTTATGCACATCTCTGATATTTCCTTAGGATAAATGAGGAGCTGATTCTTAATCCTGTCACATTGGTAAGGATTATATACCTTCCTTATTAAGAATATAAAATGCTTGTTTCTTATTGTTTCAATGTGATTGCATAGAGGATTCTTTGGATTCTGAACAATTTGATGGTATCGTAACTGCAATTTGAGAGAGGTTTCTAATGCCTCATCCTCAGCACCTTTATGGAACTCCTGTTGCATACACTTTTGGCAGGAAAATCATTGCTGATATGGAGTTTGGAAGGCACATGTATTTGTGGAAACTTGAAGGTGGTAAAAAAAAAAAAAAATTTGTGTGGTCCTTGCTCATTCCTACAACCTGGGTCTCCACTAGGGCTCAGGACCCTTTCCTTTCCTCTTCCCTTCCTCTTATTTTAGGCTATTGTTCTCTGTGAGGAACCCTTTTCTCCCTATGTTCATATGTACCTTTCATATCTAGGTAGGAAGATGTCAGTACATGGTATGTCCTGCTTAGTTCATGTTAGCATTTGATCAATCACAGATCATTTTTTAGTCCCCATATACTTACTTGTACATGATGATCTGCTGAACTCAAAGCATTTTTAAATTTTTATTTTATATTTCCTTCAAAGGTATCAAACAGCAGCCTGGAAATATGCATTATTGTAAACATACCATTACAACAAAACAGTCTATTTAGTAGGGTTACTTAAAATGAATTTTTTAAATTAGTAAAATGTTCTTATTTTTAACATTTCAGGATTTTCCTTAAAACTCGTAGGAATATTCTAGAAGTCCTAAAACCTTGATTCAGAATTACCGATGTGAATTGTTCAGCCCCTTTAACTTAAACCAGGAAGATGATCTTAAGTGATAATTTTATACCACATTAGAAGTTATTTTGAAAATAATTCCTACCGGAAATCAAGCTAACAGTCGTCTTTATCTGATTTGTTCTGATGAGACCCACATTGTACATTATCTGATTTTTGACTTTTACATATTTCAGACTAACAGAGTAAAGCATGATTAGAATTTTCTAACCTTTTCCAGTATTTCACATAATATTTGCATATGTATAATCTGCCAAGCTTTGCAGTTTTTTTGGCTGAAAGGCATTATGGTGGGATGAGAGAGGATAAATACATTTGCCTCTCTTTTAAACTATTTTTTTTTGTCTGTTCTCATTCTTTAGCCACATTGTATAAAAATATACCACACACATGAATGATCTCTTCCACCCTGCTTGGCAGGAATTTGGCTGTACTAAGTGGTGAAAAGGTATCTCAACACTCTCCTGTACTTGCTCACTGAATTGCATTTAGAAGTTAACTATAGAAATGAAAATGTTATACAGAGAGGACAGGATGTAGCCTTTATTGAGCATCTACTGTCCCTTGGTGGATCCTTTTAATTACAACATCCCTGTGGGGTAGATATTATATGCATCTTGCTAATGAAGAAACAAACTCAAAATGTAAGTAACTTACCCAGGGTCAGATACTACAGCAGTAAGTGGCAGGACAGGTTTCAACTTGATGCTAGCCAGATTCAGGCCACCTGTTTTCCCTGCTTCTTCAACTTAGAGAAATAACTTTCCTTGTTTAGTAGATGCTATTTCTTGAACTTTTGGAACTATAGAAATTGCAGTATTGAGTCTGACTGATGGTCCATGTAACCTAATCTTTAATGAAGCCAAGGTCATTTTCAAAAAGGGAAACTTCTTAGCTGCAGAAGTAACTGTTCATTTCTAACAGATAGCATTTGAATCCTTGTTCTGATAAAATGATACAAAACATTTGTTGAAGTAAAGGTCCTTTTTTTGATAGATCTTTGTAAAGATCCTGCACTGGTATGTAGGATAACATTGGCCTTCATATTTTCCTGCTTTAAAAATTAAATTGTTCAAAATTTTAAATCTTTGCTAAACTCAGAAAGGAACTAGATATTTTTGCAAAAAGTGGAGCAAAAATACCTTTAGATCACGTTTCACTTAATTTTTTTCTTAGATACCTTTGGTAGTATATTACTGTTAATTAGTTGGGTGAGGAGTTCAGAAAAGGAAATATATTGTAAAATTTATGGATCATATGAAGCTGAAAATAGTGAAGAGAAAAGGCTGATTGCCAAATTTGGAATCTAATCTATGGAGTCTAGCAATTGATCAGAACTTGGGAAAAACACGAAAATTTAAAATAAGGCTTTATTCACAAGGCTAAGAGTAACCAGTACAGAATAGAGGATACAGGGCTTAGTTACAGTGTAAATAAAGAAGAGTATTGAATCAACAGAAAACTTAGTATGACTCAGCAATGTATGGTGGACATTCTAAATATATTGCATATGTGAATTGCATTAATATTAAAGTTATTATCTAAAACAGAAGAGGTGATAATGCCCTTTACATTGGTCCTATCAAGGTTGGAATGTTCACTGCATGCTATTCTGTATACTCCTCTTTAAGGGGAATTGAATGCATGCTCAGAAAGAAGATGGTCTCATCTGTCTAAAAGGAATGCTTTAAGGAACTTGAGTTATCTAGAAAAAAACAGACTTGGGGTGGTTTGTAGTAATAGCTGTAGATTTACTTCCTGTGACTTTGCAGATATAGTGCAGGCAAGTTAGCCATCATATATTAGTAATCCTCTTAAAGGGAATTGTTGCTGAGGAAAGTTCCTGTATAATGAATTTTATCCAGCAGTCAAAGCTTTTTCTGAGATGGCGTAGTAGGCTGCCTGGTGAAGCAGTACATTCTTGTCTTGATAGTGTTCAAATACAGATGAGAATGGGATAGAAAGAACTGAAGCATATGATGTATATTTGGAACAGATGACTTTCAAGATCCCTTACAAATCCTAAACATTTTAAAATTCTAAGATCAAAAAGACTTTATAGAGTAGTATTATTTTTTTTACTCCTCACCTGAGGATATTTTTTCCATTGCTTTTCAGAGAGAGTGGAAGGGAGAGAGAGAGAAACATTGATATGAGAGAGACACATTGATTGGTTGCCACCTGCACTTGCTCCAACTGGGGCCGGGTATAGAGGCTGCAACTGAGGTACATACCCTTGGCCGGAATCGAACCTGGGACCCTTCAGTCTGAGGGCCAACGCTTTAATCACTGAGCCAAACCAGCTAGAGCTGGAGTATTATTTTTTCTCATGAATCTACCTCACCTTAATAATAGTAAATTTGCATTGGTAAAGCTCTTTATAGTTTATAAAGTGCTTTCTTATGAGTTAACTCAGTTTTGAGCCTAACAGTGACCCATTGGGTAGACAGGGCAAGTTTCCTCATTTTGAACAGATAAAGTAACAGTCTAGGAGAAAATCTGAATTGCCCCAAAACATAAAGCTGTAAGTGGCAGACCTAGGATTCTATACCTGGTCCACCAATTCGAAGTTTAATGCTGTTCTGCTGTACCAGTTTGCCTTAAAAGTAAGTTATAAGTTGTGATTCTTGCTTTGCATACATGAAAGTCACAAGGAGCATATGGTTCTCAAATTATATTCCCATGGAAAATGTAACTGTAGCTCTAGTTAGACCGGGGTTCTAAAAGCCAAATAATAGGGGAGCTGTTGAGCAGATTATTATAGAAAGACAACTGTACAATTAATGAGAAAGTCTAGTTTGGGTTACTAGGTGAATGATGGTAACACTCACTAAAATAGCAAACACAGGAGAAGTTAGCAGATTGGTGGGCCACAGAGGGGGTGATTGAATTGAATTTTGGACATAATTAAAATAGCTGACAATATATAGCTCTTTATATATTGAGGATACCAACCCTTTATCATATGTTGTTAACTAAGTGCCAGGCACTGTGCTTAGGGTTTTATATTGATCTCATTTAGTCTTTATAACTCTCTGAAGATATGACTTTTTAATCTTCTCTTTCCATATGAAGAAACTAAAGCCTAGATAGTTTAAATAATGTATCTAAGGCTTCATAATTAGTACAAGAGCAGAAATCTGATCTAGGTGTCTGACTCCAAAGCCAGTGTTCTTAAGAGCTAGTTTAAGGTTCACCTGGGATGTCTGGATAAAAATAATCAGTGTTCAGTTGAATAAATGGTTTTGGCTTTTAGGAGAAAGATGTATCCTGGAGTTGAGTCCTTACCATAGAAATAGGTTTCTGAAAGTGCCTTAGGAAAATAAAGATTTTATACCTGCTTCCCCCTTTTCTTCATTTGGCACTATTTCTGTGCTTTGTAATATTGTATAGGCATTTCCTAACCTAAGAACATACTCTGTGAGTGTTTGAAAATGAAAAGTGCCCTTTTTATGGGTTAGTAGATTTGTGAGATCCTTTAGGATGGATCTCTAGGATGGGGGTCATGTTTTATTAACTTTTCATCTCCAGCTTGGTGCCTAGAACATAACATGAATGAAATAAAATAAATGGATGGATAAATAGGAATGGGGAGAGTAGAGAGAGGAGTTCAAATTCAGAGCAGCTGCCTCATGAGGGGTATAGGGTAATGGGGTGGGTTACCTTTTATTTTCTAGTTGACAGTGCTCCAAAGATGGTTAGCTTAGATTCTTGTACATTTGCTGAATTAACAAGTGGTCAAGGGAATTGACTCCTTTTTCCAGTGAAGGAACTAGAGAAGACACTATATGTTCCTGACTCTGGTTTTGTTTTATTTTGTTTTAAATTACACAAATAATACATATTCATTGTAGACACATTAGAAAATTCAAACAAGCAAAAACAATTTAAATTGTCTAAATTTCTACTACCCAGAGATAGCCATTGTTAACATTTTGGTGTATATCTTTCTAGAGTTTTTCCCATAGAAATATATACATTGAAACATGTATATATTTATTTAAGATGGGATCATTACAATTCATATTGTTTTGTAAATTGCTTTTTCACTTATTACATGTGAGTGTCTTTTCATGTCAATAAATTTACATCTTTATCATCATTTTTAATGACTGCATAGTATTCCATAATGTGGATGTACCAAACATATTTAACTAGTTCTCTATTGTTAGGAATTTAGATTTCCAATTTGGAGTTCTTTTTGGAAAAAGTTATGGTGAGCATTCTTGTATGTACAACTTTGCACACTTGTACATTGTTTAAAAAAAATAAGTCGACATGATGAGCTCTTTCAAACTTTTGTGTTGTTTTTTTCAAATATAGACTTATATTGCCTTCCTGAAAGGTTGAGCTGATTTACACTTTCTCCAGCAGTATATCCTGAGTGCTCTTTCTCCCATGTTAGTGCTGGGTGTTATTTTTTCTGTAAATCATTATCAGTTTGAAAAGCAAAAGTATCTTTCAGTTAAGTGCATTTCCTTGATTAGTACTAAGGCTGAACTCTTTTTTCCCTTATTGCTCATTTCTGTTGAGGTTCATCGTTTTTTCTTACAGGTTTGTAAAACAGAGCTCTTTATATATTGAGGATACCAACCCTTTATCATATGTTGCTTTTATTTTTTTGTAATCAATTTGTCTTTCTACTTTTTTGTGTCTGGCAGAAGACATTTTAAACTTTTATGGATGCAAATGTCAGTTTTTTCTTTATGATTTCTACCCTCCTAACCCCATTAGTATTATTCACCTGTATTTTCTTCTAGTACTTGTATAACTTTCTTTTTGACATTTAAATGTTAATCCATCTGGAATCTATTTTGATATAGAGGTCTAGCTTAATTTTCCCCTGAAATAGTCAGTTGCCCTGATTAATTATCAATGGAGTTGGATTTTAGAATGTGTTTTCCCATAGAAAGTATTATAAATGAAGTTTGATGAGGTTTGAATAAGATCATTTGTAATGCATTTAACTATTAAAATAAATTCAAGGGCTCACCTGGAAAGGTAATTATCATTTATTATTATCATCATTTCCATTGAAGAATGTTTTTATCGTTTAAAACGAACAATTTACATGTTAACTTTTGAAGCACAACCTGTTGCAAATTGGCAACTGCATACTTGTATGGTGGTTTTGTACTTCATTAGAACCCTTTAGGGGTGAAAATAATCCTATACAATTTTGTTTTGTCTGCCTTCATTTAATTTTAACTGATGTAAGATCTGCTTTGGTAACTTTCTACTTGCTGTGCTTTTCACAGAATGGACAGCAAATTATGGATGAACCTATGGGAGAGGAGGAGATTAATCCACAAACTGTAAGTCAAATGTTGTATTATAAGGGATATAGATAAATCAGATACCATAAAATTTAAGTATTCTTTTAAACTGAGTAAAATAATGATTTTATGGTATTAGAAATTTATTGATGCTTTCACATGAATTTTACCTAAATGCATTCTTGAATATGCCAGTGACATTTTTAAAAACTGTTTGATAAGACTGATTTTGAGAATGAAAAAAAAATGCTTTTATATTATTGAAAGTTTTTCATTAGTACCTTAAAACTTTTTTTAAAAAATCAAACTAACCATAGATTTATTAGAGGCGAGTAAATAAATTATCTCCCCCTGCAAGGTAACCATTGTTAGCAGCTCAGTTATTATTTTCATTTTGTCCTATACATAAGACAATTGTTGATATTTACAAAATACATACATTCTGCAACTTGTTATTTTCGCTTACTGTCTTAAACATCTTTTATGACAGAAAATATAGATCTACATCTTTTAAATATTTGCTTGGTTGTATAATACTCTGTTTTATGCCTGTCCTATACTTAATGTAATTTTCCCCTATTTTTGTGAACTTGTGTTTCAGTATGATATAGTCTTAGAAAAAGATGTGCTGGAACAAAGGGTATGAACGTTTAAATCTCAGTAGACACTGCCAAATTGCCCTTCAGACCAAAAATTAATTCCATGTTGAATAGGGTACGGTCAAGCAGGATATTCAACACTGGATAGTATGAGAAATTATTTTTAATTTGAGACACTCTAAATAAATAATACTTTCTCATTTCAATTTGCATCTCACTTGATTATTAGTAAAGTTGAGTATCCACGCATTATTGGCTTTTATATTTTTGTGTTGATCCAATTTTCTTTGATCTGTATTATCTCTATATATATTCTGGATATTAACTCCATGTTTATAATGTATCTTGCAAATATTTTCTCCCTATTTTTTTAAGATTAATCATGTTGTCTGTCATTGTATATGTAAACTTTTCATTTTTAAGTCATCAGATCTGGCTTCTGGGTTTCATGTTTTAGTTAGAAAATCCTTCCCTGCACCAAAGTTATAAAAATATTCTCTTACATTTTCATCTACCACTTTTATGGTTTTATTTTTAGCATTTAGCTCTGCAAACTACTTGGAATTTTAGTACCTGTCATGATGTAGAAATCTAACCTTCCTTTCTAAATAGCCTCTTTTCTTAATCTCTACTTATTGAATAACAAACCCATTCATTCTCACTCATTTGAGATCCTTCTTTTATTATGTATAAAATTGCCATATACCAGTTGTATCAGTTTCCTAGGGCTGCCCTAACAATGTTCCACAAGCGGAGTGGTATAAAACAACAGAAATTTGTTCTCTCACAGTCCAGAAGACTAGAAGTTTGAAACCAAGGTGTTGACAGAACCATGCTCTCCCTGAAGGCTCTGGGGGAGGATCCTTCCTTGCCTCTTCCAGCTTCTGGTGGGGCAGTCCTTGGCATTCCTTGGCTTGTAGACACATCATTCCAATCCCTACCTCCATTATCACATGGCAATCTCCCTGTGTGTTGCTGTGCCCAAAATTTCTTCCTCTTATAAGGACACCAGTCTATTGGATTAGGGCCCACGCTACTCCATTTTGACCTCATCTTAACATTATTACATCTGCAAAAACCCTATTTTCAAATAAGATCACATTCACAGGTATGGGGGATTAGAACTTGAACATACCCTTTTAACAGTTTTTGAAAATTTATTTTTCAATTGTAATTGACATACAATATTAGTTTCAGGTATACAGCATAGTGATTAGACATTTATATATCTTACAAAGTGATCACCCCAATAAGTCGAGTACCTGTGTGGCACCATGTAAAGTACAGATAGGGAATACCGAACATACCTTGGAGGGCACAATTCAACCTACAACATCCCTGAAGGTTTTGACTTCACACAGTTTCAATTACTGTACTTTTATATATGGCAAGGCAAGCCTTCCCACTGTTTTACTTTTCAAAATTGTAGTCTTATAGATCTTCCAGATGAATTTTACAGTTTATCAAGTACTCCTGAAAAATGTATTGGGATTTTTATCAGAAGTACATTTAATTTACAGACTACCTTGAAGAAAGTTATTTTAATAATATTAAGTCTTCACATCCAAGGACATTCATGTTTCTATATGTGTGTGTGTTTTTTTAATATATTTTGTTGATTTCAGAGAGAGGAAAGGAGAGGGAGAGAGAGAGATAGAAACATTAATGATGAGAGAGTCATTAATCGAGCCCACAACCCGGGCATGTGCCCTGACCGGGGTTTGAACCCTGATCTCCTGGATCCTAGGTTGATGCTTAACCGCTGAGCCACGCCCGGCCAGGCACCTATATGTGTTTTAACATCGTGGGAAAGTTAATTTTTTGGAAACCAAACAAATTGTCATGAACATTTAGTCAGTTATGGAGGAGTGAGATTATTGTACTGTTCTTAAAACCCTTTAATAGTTTTGTGCTTCCTTTAAATAAAGTCCAAACTCTGCAGTGTGACCTACCAGGTGCTGTGTGATAAGGCCTCTGTGTACTCCTTTGTATCCTTTCCAGCCACACACCTCTGCCCTCTACTGAAAGTCCAGTCATTTGAGTTCTCTTTTGCTCCAGGGCCTTCAGAGGCGATATTCCCTCTCCCAGAATTTTTTTCCCCTTACCGCCCCCCTCCAGTTAATTCCTAATCATCCTTTATTTATTTATTTTAATTTAATTTTTGTTTAAAATATTACAGATGTCCCTTTTTCTCCCCAATGACCTGTTCTACCCCGTCCCTTCCCCCTCCCCAGTCCCTCTCCCCACCATTGTCCGTGTCCTTGGGTTGTGCACATATGCATATAAATTCTTTGGTTACTCTCTCCCCCTCCACCCACCCACCCTCCTCCATCCCTCTGACATTCGTCAGTCTCATCTTTGCTTCCATGTCATTGAATCTATGCTGTTCATCAGTTTATTAAGCTCTTTAGATTCTACGTATAAGCGAGATCATGTGATATTTGTCTTTCGCTGCCTGGCTTATTTCACTTAGCATAATATTCTCCAGGTCCATCCATACTGTCCCAAAGGTACGAGATCCTTCTTCTTTACAGCTGCGTAGTATTCCATGGTGTAAATGTCCCACAGCTTTTTTATCCACTCATCTACGGATGGGCACTTGGGCTCTTTCCAGATCTTGGCTATTGTAAACTGTGCTGCTATGAACATAGGGGTGCACATATTCTTTCTGATGAGTGTTTCAGGATTCTTAGGATACATTCCTAGAAGTGGGATCACTGGGTCAAATGGCAGCTCCATTTCTGATCATCCTTTAGATCCAAGTTTTGATACCTCTTCAACTGAGACATCTTCCTGTCACTGCCATTTTCACCTTGAGTTCAGTGTTTTTTCTTTGTGCTGCCACAGCATCTATGCATACCCTAAATAGCAGCATTATACTAGATTTTTATTGCTTGCTTATTTGTTTATATTCCCTACTAAACTGTGAGCTGCATGAGGCAGTGGCCATGTCTGACTTATTCCTTGTTTTATATACATCACCCCAATAAATGCTTGTTAATTAAATGAATGCATGAATTATGCTTTGGCTACCACAGGGACCTGGGCATGGGGCCTAGTGCCCAAGGCTGCCTTCACATTTGGTCTAGATTTCTGTACCTCCCAAACCATTTGAGGCATTTTACTTCATTAGTCTGTAGTATGCATTTATTAGCATTTAAGCAAACATGAAAACAATCAGTAAGTGTTAATACTTATTTTTCTGCCACCAGCTACCTTTTTTATCTTTATATAACAATTCCTTTGGAAGGAAAACCTTACATTTTTTTTTCTTCAGTCTAAAATCAAAGCATTTTCCATTGCAATATTACATGGCTCGTACTTTCCCTCAGAGCACTCACAGCATTAGCAACACTTACCTCTGGAAGGAAACTGCATTCTAGAGATAGGGTGAAAAGGTTCATGACTAAGATATTACCAGCAGTATGGGTGAAATTATTGAGCAGGTCATTCCAGATTATAGGAATTAGATTTAAGTATTTAATATTTCTTTAGTGGTGTTAAATACAAAAGATTGTCAAAATATATGTTAGCTTTATACTTTTAAATTATATTTGCCTTTAATGTATAATTAAGAGTGTTTTGTCAGTTACTGATAATTTAAATAGTGAAAGTTGAGATTTCACATTAGTTATCTATTTGATGCATAACAAATTGCCCCAAATTTAGTAGCTTGAAACAGCATATATTTACTATCTCACAGTTTGTGGGCCAGGAATCTGTGCACAGCTTAACTGGGCTCTTTGGATCAGAGTCTCACATACTGCATGCAGTCAGGCAGTTGGCCAGGGCCAGAGTCTCATCTGAACCTTAACGTGGAGAAGGATCTACTTCCAAGCTGACACGTTTGTTGGCCCAGATTCCTGGCCTATGGAAATTATGAGATGATAATTTTATGTGTGGAACTTGTCAACTGATAGGCTTTCTAGAAGGCTGATTGCCGCTTTTTCCATGAGCTAGAATGCAGAGTGTAATGATTAAATTTTGACCACGACATGACCTTAGAATGCATGGAAAATAACAAGAGAGAAGAAATCTGGGCCTTTTAATGACCTAATGATCTAGCGACACCTCTTCACCCCAACCTACCCTCTTACCTATGGAGTGCACCGTGAAAGGAAAATAGGCACTTATCCTGTTTGAGTCATTGCATTTTGAGGTCTTTTTGTTACAGTAGCTTAGTCTGTAACTACAGCTAATCATTCGTTAACCAAGTAGTTAATGAATGTCTATTGGGTGCCAAGAACTCTGTTAGGTTGTTGGAAACACAAAAGCATATAAGGGAAACTTTTAGTTTTAAAATGGCAAGGTAAAGCTGTTTTTGTCTGCTTCCCCTCTGGGAAATTATCACCCAAAACAATAAGAATGAAAAACAGAAATGTGGTCTTTGGAATTAGAAGACTTCTGTAGTTGAACCACAGTATATAACTGTGAAAATCA